CAGTACTGATGCCTCTTCTTTTCATCCACAATCTTCACGCTGTGGTACAATACTCCTTTTATCGCACATTGCATTCTCTTTACTGCATCCTCCACTTCTTGTTTACTTTTCGCTTTTTTGTCCACGCACCGTCTAATGGCATTGCCATAATATTTCTGCAGTTTGTCAATCATAGGCCTGGTGAGTCTTCCTGCTCTTCCTCCCACCGGTTTACCATCTGCGAGCTTTGACTTTCCAGACAGAGCTATCAGGTTTTTCCCCATACGCTTCTGCACATGTCCGACACAATCAAGCTTGCTAACCCGATGGCAATTGTCATTGCTTGTGCTATGTTCTCTCTCCCAATTAGCATGTGCTTTCGATTTCAACCACTTTTGGTACTCTGCTGACTGTTTGTCCATATTTTCATATTTCTCACAATCATCACAAACCCCATATATATCCCACACTTCTCCATGTGCCTTGCTATCACCATCACATACCATATCAATATACCGGAACTTGCGCTTCTCGACAGATATCTACTCCACAAAATTCTGGCTGCTTCTTTTTCCATAGCAGGACTAGAACCATTATAATTCTTTTGGCACAGTCCACTGGCCGCATGAGCATCTTTCCACTCTTGGTATTTCTCGGGATTGCTTTTGTGTTTCTCTGCAGCTTTGCAAAGTTCACAGACCTTTGATAAAACAACATAGTCCAAGACCTCCCCAGTATCAGCAGAAATGACAATTCCAACTCCATAGTTGGCCGTGAAGCCCCTTTTGTTCCATGTACCATCAAATGACATGGCAACATCAAGAATTTCTGCATCATCCTTCTGCAGGAATGTGCGTACTCGATGGCCGGCATCGTTCAACCTTTCTTCCAAAACTTTTCGTGTTGCTAAGTTCACCGAGCGATTATGTTTTTGATAAGCACTATCACTTACTGGGGGTGGCATATTTAAAATTTCGCAAATGGTGGCAAGAGCCTCTCTGCCTAAGCCCAACTCACCCATGGCAAAATTTGTTCTCCGATTTACATCAAAAGAACGAGCTTTTCCCTTGACTGGCTTCGAAGTATCCATGTCCACTCTCTGTCTACATTTGGTGCATTCAAAATAGTAGCTGCTGCTCAATCCAGCACGTTTTGAAGCATCTTCACAAGTTATGATTGTCCCATTCTTACATTTGTGCATCAATTGAACAGCTTTCCGTATGTTCTCAATATAAACAATCCGGTATCCGTCTTTTTCCTCTTGTGAATTCTGTCTTGTAAATTCGGGAGTTTGGGGAACTAGCATTCTCCAGTTTTCTTGCCGATGTTGACTTTACAGTAACCAAATCTTCGCTATTTATCACTCGATCTTGAGTAATTGCGTTTTGTTGGCTGGCAGATTGAGAGCCATTATTTTCGCCATCTTTGCGCAAATCAGCGAAACGTTTCCCTTTGAAATGGTTTTTCTTCGTTGATTTGTTTCTCACACGCAACTTTGTGCCTTCTTTAGAACCTTTTGGCATTATTACAAGCAAAAAATACAACAAAATATGGTGACAAAATAGCGATTCAGCAGAATATATTCTCAAACCTGTTTCGAATGTTGACCACAGTATGCAAATCAGAATGTAAATAAGCAAAATTATGCAATAAGCATGTACCTATGCCCCCCTCGTATCCCTAATACACACATTTAGCATAGTAGCCCTATTCAATATTTTTACATCAAAATGGCCCAGAAAAACGGCCTTTTCAGAGGCTATTTTTTAATGGTAAAACGCATAAAAATTAAAAAAAAACATCAGTAGTTGATAAAGTACATGTTAAGGTATACTATTGTGATGTTTTTAAAATTTTGATTTTTTTTCCAGTATCATCAAACTTCTAGGAGGTTGGAAGTCACATCCTTGCCAGTTGCTGGGTCTTTAACTTTAATTCTCCCCAACCCAGGAACACACATCAGCCATAAATTTGAAGTGGTGATATGAACATTTGAAAGATGTGCTGTTTAGACAATAAATTTTTTTATCAAATTGGGCAATCAGTCCAGCTGTCCCAACTGCGGACGAAGGAAGGAGACCACCACTAGTAGGCATGAGCATCACCAATGATGAAACAGTGTGGCTGGGTAGCAAATTTTACTTTCATCTTTTGAAAGCCATTGGGATATAAGTGATTGCTGGTCAACTTTGGGCAACATCTGATGGACGTTTTGGAGTGAATATTGTAGCATGGGTGGATTTACTGCGTTAGGGGGTTAATCCTAGAATCTCTCTAACCCCTCTTATAAAGTGTTCAACCCTACCAAAACTTCACTTCCCCCCTCCTATTATGTGTGAGAGTCTTTAACCCTAACGCCAAATCACTTTTTCAAGTTGCTGCCAATGGCGTGCTGCTGCTTGCACTCCAATAGAAATTTTCCCACCTGTCCTATTAAACAAATGAAAATCTGTCCGCCCCAGTATTGTGGAGAGCTTTGATGTCCTTCCAGGATGCCACTTTTCTGTCAAAATGAAAGTAATTTTATAAGATTATTCTGTACTGCCTTGTGTCAAAGTGATTAACTTATTCCATTATGGAGGAACCAGGGTTTTCAGATGTGATATCCATTTCTTGGACAAACGTTTGGAAGTTGGATCCAGTATCTGAGGCAACATCTTCAACATGCAGCCCTATATCTTCCACAAGGTCGATGATCTCTGTCAGCTTTTCATTATCTTTAAAACTGCTGCATGCTTCTTTGACGAGAAAGTAAGCCAAAGGCTACTTCCAGTTGTCCACAACATCACAAGCCATAAAAACAATAGCAGAAGTTGCCAAGCAGTTGGTTTTGTCCACTTCACCATAATCTTCCAGTGCAATCAACTCATCTGTTTCTGATGAGTTGATTGGACTGGAACAAACATTACCTGAATTAAACTAAAATCTTTTTCCATTATGAAGTTGGCTACAGTATGTAACAATGCAACAATGTTTTGCCCCAGCTTTTATGCTTTTATGTACTATGGCATAAACCAAAACGTTAAACAATGTCGTAACTATAAACTAACTGAACCAATGTTGAACTTAATTTTGATTTTTCAATATCAACTAAGAAATAAAGTGCAACAAATGTTTCCCCCAGCTTTAAAGTGCCTATATCACTCGTGGGATCTTTACGAATTTGGAAAGAGCACGAAAAGTTAGTTAGCAAGTTGTTCAACCTTTTTTGATTTGGTTCAGTATTTTCCGAGATATTGACCCTCAAACATGAAAATTTTCAAGAAAATCTATCGTGCTTGGGGGCCTGAGACTCAGGAACACAAGCGTAAACAAACACTATAGAATTGTATTGTATTTTGATACTGTAACTTACTAAAGTGAGAATTTTTGCAAGAAAAGTTGGTTTATTAAGCTCAAAATCGTTCTCTGGTACTGAAAAAAGTTCCTACGATTGCGCTGAATATAAAATTGAAGGTGAAACGTACAAAACAACTTCAAAATCAAATTTGAAAGTGCTCCTTCGTAGATGACATGTAGCTTCGTCAAACATGAAAATGTTGGCATTAAAGCTACACTGACGAAATATAGGCCAAAGAATATGTTTGAAAGTTAGAATAATATAACAAGGGAATAAGGAAATTCATTTTCACATGAAACGGACCTTACATGTACAGTATGTTGTGATAGTTATTCGTATTAAAGTGAAAAATATATTTTCTATTGTATATGTATTTATAAAATGTCGACCGCCACAATGTTATTTTGCCATTTGCAGCCAATTACCATGTTTTGGGCTGTCTTTGAGTAATGTTTTGCAGGTTGAATTATTGAGATATCTAAATTAAGTGAAGGAGTTTTTTTTTATTATATTTTGTACTGTTGAAAATCACAATACATTTCATGATTCAATGATTGTATTAGCTTTATTGCTGCAAACCTCCAATAGACCAATACTTGGCTTGAATTAATAGTTTTGCTGTTAATATAAATGGTAAAGGTCCCAACATTCCAACCCTTGTCAAAAAACCTGAACTTGTGAGGGTCGGAGCCATGATGACATCTGCAAGGATCCAGGCCAGCATCGCATGATTTAGGGGAGTGGTCATTCTATGGGGAGGGGGAGGGGGGTTGGGAAATGGGGAAAATAAGGATTGAAAACTTTTTTGACCCCCCCCCCCCCC